GTGTGTTAATGCAAACAAGAAAATACGTTTTCTTTTTTGTGGTGCCTGAAGTTGGCTGGCTGGTGGGGACAGCTCGAAGTGTCCATCGTGTACATCAGCTATATTTTCTTTGTTGCTGTGATCTTTTGGAATATTCCCCTTTGCGGTGCTCTTTGGATCACCTTCAGAAGTTGAAGCGCACGTGGAAGCACATTTCAATGATTTCCAACAAGATGGTGTAGCTCAAGGCTGCGTAGATGCCTTAACACAAAAATGCATCCGCTGAGCCATTTGGGTGGCCAAGATGTGGGCAAGTAATTAGATACGGGGCGTGCAAGCTCACTTTCTTGGTTGACGCACGGCTGTCCGCAACTCAGTGCCAGCAACATATCTCTTTCCACCAGTTAGCTTTTGCACCAGTTGGCTTTGCCAGCGCAAGCTTTTGCAAAGGCACGAGGGAACCTGCAGCAGTGTCACTGCCATGTTTCACCTTCTCAGATGTTCACTGATGGACAATGTCCTGTGACAAGTGTGAGCGCACTGGTTTTTTCATCCCTTTTCCGGAGGGAAAACGGCATCAGGCTCAAAGTGTTGAAGGGATGGAGAATCCACGTTTCCAGCCCCGCTTGACCTCTCCAAGCGACTATGCTCCAGCTTGGCGCCCCGTACGTGCCTAGCTATGGATGGAGTAGAATTTATTGATTTGTATACCCCTTACTGACTGTCAATTCCAGTCAGTGAAGCTAGGCAGCTAGGGTTGTTGTTTCTTTTCCGGCTTATCTCACACCTATACTCAATTCAGGTCATGGCAGGGTGCCTTGGGGAAAAGCAGAGGTTGAAGCTCAGCGGTGTTTTTATGTAATGCCTTTTTTTGCGATGAACCCTGTTGCATCCCCAGGTTTCAGTGTCGTCCACATTCTGAGGGTACTGTTTTTTGGTAGTCAAAGTTGTGGGCCATCCCCTAACTCACCTTGCCTGAGGATCTCATGGCTGAGAAGGTGTTGGGGTGGATTCCCGAAAGGGCTCAGAGCCTCATTCGCGAACACACGTTTGCTGGTGGGAGCCTGATTCATCTCGAAAGTAAAATTTGCAGGCCCAGCTGGAAGGACTGATATGTTACAAAGTTTGGTTTTGCTAACACCAATTTTTGAAAGAAGGGGCATAGCATTTGCTGCTGTGTTTTGCTTAAAGAGAAATTGTGTTGTTTCACCACACATTCACCAGGACTGCTCGAGGAATTTTGTTTGGCTACGACCAGTTGTGGAAGCCTACCCGAAGGTTGCTCCAAGTCCTTTCTTCATGACTGACGTCTACCTAGAAGTCGACAAACGCTTGGGCGGAAAGCTTTTGCTTCTGGCTCCTGAGAATGGTAAGATTCCTTTCACCTCCATGACAGAGAAGGTCGAGATTGCTGCCGCAGAAGTCGGAAAGCTGCGGAAGCTATACAGCACACTCCGCTACCTTTACCGGAACGGTTCCCGAGAGTTTGCTCTAGAAACCTTTTTCGGAAACCTCACATGTAAAGTTATTGGGAAGCTCTCCAAAAGTTGTGGCCTTTTCTCCACAAATTCCACATCGACCTAAATTTGTTTCGGGAAGTTTGGGAAGCTGCCTGAACTTTTGATTTATAGAGAAGACCAGGTCCCAAATCGATGGACGACAAGGTGACCATCCTCAAGGGCTTTCTACAGCCTTCGCCATCTTCTAAGGTTACTGGGCCTGCGACTTCAGTGGAAATATGTTTGCGCATGATATCTGATGTAATTCTTCCATTACCTAATATGTAAATACATATACATATATATATATACATAACATGTATAGTACATATGTGTATACATAATTATTTTATATGTCTATATATACATTTTTGGTTTTTGTTTTTAGTAGAGTTATTGTTTCTTTTTTGGTCTTGCAGTTTGAGAGTGAGGCTCGGAAACAGCGGAATCAAGAACGTGAGGAAGAACAAGAGGAACCTGAACAAGAGGAACCTGAACAGCAGGAATCTCAATCCGAGGAACTTGGGCATTGGGGGTTCTCATCATCGAAACGTTGTTCATTTTCGTTTGAGATTGTTAGGGCAAAACATCACCCATACATTGTTTATCCGCTCAGCCTGGAGGATCAAAGGGATGGTGCTACTTCTGGCGAAGCCTCTTCAGACGAAGCTGCTTCAGATCCTGACACAGATGCGGATGATTGTGAAGACAAGGATAGGTGTGAAAATGATGTATCATGTTGTGAAGGGGCTACTTGTTCCTTTTACCCGAATGGTTTTGCCAAACGTTTCTCCTCAATGAATGGGCAATAGGCTAGGTCTGACTGCTGAATTTTCCCCTTGCAGGAAGAACTGCCACCTGCAGATGATCCTGCTGAGTTTCAGATTACCATTCCAGAAATTCCGGAGAGCTCTTCTTCGGATGATGCTCTGGATGATGATGCTGGTCATGATTTGGATGACCATGAAGACAAGGTCATGGAGACTCGCTCTTCCGGGGAGAGTGATGATTCTTCACCAACCTTGACTATGGTGGATGGATCCCCAATTGCTCGTCACATGCCGGAAAGAAAGCGAAGCTGCCTCGACGTCGAGAAGGAGTCTGAGATCAACGATACCAAGGACAAGGCGTGCAAATGAGATTTGCATGGTTCGACTGGTCTAGGGGAATCAAAAAGAGACAGGAGACCACACACCACTCCTTTTCTTCCCTTGTTGTCCATGGGTTTGCGCACACTTTTTGAACCATTGCCCATAGCCAGCTTTGTTGAGCTGGAGTCTTGCAACTGTGTGGCAAGGTATTCAAACATTTTCAGATTAATATTTTTTGCGAAGTAGAACAGGGTTGTAATTAACCATGCACCTTCTGGAGGACCTGGATATCGCAGAAGCTCTCCACATGATTGATGAACCAGGGGGAAGTTGCAAAAAGCATAGCTTGCCCAGACCCCTTCACGATGTGAAAATGGCACGCCTGGCTACCCCTTCATTCTTCGACAATGTTTGCGAACACCTGTCTCAGACCCCTGCCTTTTGTGTCAAAGAACTTGGCGTTTCCTCTGAGAAGTGTTCACATGGTAAAAAAAATATGAATTGTGAATGCACCAATGCACCAGGGTTGCTCACACCCCTTGTCTTGACTAGCTTGGATTGAAGCCCTTCCCCTGCGACCAGGTGAAGGGCCCATCTTCAAAGCAGAAGAAAAAGACGGTCAAGGCGTCCTTCAAGCGCTCCCATAGATCGAAGGCGAAGAAGAACGCAAACAAGACCGACAAGTCGTCTGCTCAAGATGAACGTTGTGGAGATCCCAGCAGGTTCAAGGAGGGGTCACATTGATGCCGAAAGATGTTATGTTCTGTTTTTCCAGATCTTTTTTTGCAAATGTCGAACGAAGTTTGGTATTCGAGAATCACAGGTTGCCCCTAGGGAATTAATATGAATTAATTAGGCGCGCATTGAATCATTTGTGTGTGTGTGTCGGCAGCCGGTTTTAGGAGTCCTATGGTGCCTATGACCTCAAAGACATCCCACCTGATGCACGCCCAGATCCATTTAAGAAGCATCGGGGTGAGCAAAGCTACACTGTGACTACCACAGTGGCAAATGATGATGGTCCGCAAGAAGTGTTGGTGGATGTTTTGTTGAGGGCACGTGCGTATTACATCAAAAAGGCACCCGGTGGTTCCGGCCAAGTGAGCTGGAAAAAACACGGGGGGCCAACGCAGGCATGGGTGAAGACCATGCATCAAGCTGTTGTTGGGAGGGAGCGTGCTGCATGATTTGTTAGGAGGGATAAGATTCCTAAGTTTCGTGGTGTGTTTGAGAATGACTTGTCAGTGTTTACAGAATTCTGCAATGGTTGTGTAGCACGTGCCCCCCGGGGAGGTTATAGGGTAGGTTTGACTCTGTGTGTTCATGGGGAGGCCAAGGGGGTTTGACAACTGCCCAAATGATCTTTGCAGTTGCCAGGGGTAGCTATCTTCATAGGAACACCGTGTCGCAAGCAGCTTTGAAAAAAGGCTGAGTTGTTTTGCAAACCTGATCCCCAGTCCTTTACCCCATCGATTCGCAGTGCTCTCTGTTTCCGCAGAGCCGGGCCTCGTGCGAAGGGGGAAGCCTATAGAGGCCAAGGCTGGATTCGGGCGTGGCTGAAGGAAATATAAAGGGAGAAGGGAAATTGGAGCGTGATTGATCATCTTCTCACCTTTTTTTGTGTGTGTGTGTGAGCATTTTTGGCTCTGGCTCTATCTTTTTGGCCTTCCAAACGAAGCATGGGGAAGGGATTGAAACCACCCAGCTTTCGTGCTCGCAAGGGTGTGCCCAAACTTCCCAACATAGATACAGACATTGACATGGAGGAATGTTGCAGCGCCCGAGAGAAGCAGAAAAGGACCATCCTTGCTGGATTGCGCGCCCTGAAGGCCCCTGCTGTCGCTTGGTCAGTCCTGAAACAATTTTGGTGTATATTGGTAGAGTTGGTTGACCATTCCTTGAAACAGTACACGGGGGGGAATTCCTGTCTGGATGTAGAAACATTAGAAGAGGGCAGGGTTCCAGAATTCGAGGCCCTGAGTCACAAAACAAGTTTTTGGAAGGCTGTTGTCTTGAACACCTTCCAGTTTAAGGTGATCGGGCTATTGGTCACTTTGCTCTTTGCCCAAAAGAGCCTGCCTTTCGACCCAGTCGAGCATGTGGAGTGTTTCGCTGGAGCGCGCTCAGTCACATTCGGTGAACTTGAGGACTCAGTTCCACACCAACCAAGACTTTTGATTTTAGATATTTGTTTGGGCATTAAACGTTTGAGAAAGGAATCCCTGGTTGATGAAAAGGGTTGGGCTCAAGATGGGTGCCAATTCATGACTTCCATTTGGTTTGGGATCCACTTTTGGTTTGGAATTGGTTGTAGTATGTTCTAGATGGTTATAGTAAATGTTTGAGCTTGCTCAAGAACACATTTCTGCTGGAGCAGCCCCAGGAATCGAGAAACGCTGTGGCCCTAGATATCAGGTTTGATCCAATGGGAATGAACATCCTCGGGATCAATGGCTTCCTTCAGCGCGTCTACCAGGTTTGCAGGCTCAAAGTCGGCAGTGGGAGTCTGATGGCTCCAGTGTGCAGCAGCTTTGTTTTCGTGCGGCTTGTCTTCGTTGTCATTTGGGGGCGCCTTACTTTCATAGTTGAAAGCACTAAGGAACTATGAAAAAGGACACCCTGATGACCTGAAAAAGGAAGTAAACATTCGCATGATTTTATTGTAAACTTGTTTGCAGGGTTGGGTTGACATTTTGCCAGTTTGCGCTACAATATCCTGCCAAGGAGTAGAGGCTCCACAAAGCGTTCAGCGCTGTCTCCAGAAGGAGATCCATCAGCACCTTCGGTGAGGGACGGTAATATCATCCTGTGCCGAACACTGGTTCTGCTCTACATTTGTGCGGCTTTGAGGGTGTGGTTCATGTTAGAACAACCAAAGGGAAGCATCATGCAGGAACATCCTGCCTTCAGAAACTTCATCAAGCATGTATCCCTGTGGCGGCACTACATCGCCATGCGGGACTATGGGGCGCCAACACAGAAACCGACGTGGCTTTATTCCAGTCACTTGTTTTAGCAAACAATTGACCCCCTTGGGAAGTCTTAAAATTATGTGTTACTTCCTCTTTAGATGGGTTCGACAAAAACACTTGTCTAGGTCCAAGCACCGGGATGTTTCAAGAGGGGTTTCAACAATCTTCTTGGTTTTTCCTGGGCTTGCCAGCTAAGGCTTGAAGTGCATTGAATCCTTATCCCAATTTCGACCCAGGCAGTTGCCTAAGATTGTGGAGGAGGAGCCCAAGGAGATGGTAATTCATTACAAGGATAAAGAGGGCAAGGCCCGCATACAGGGAGGAAAGGACCTCAAATCGAGCGAAAATTATCCAATCTGGTCTCCTGGTCAAAGTTCAGCTTTTTTCAAATTGCATTTCTTGCTATCACATTTTGGTTAAAGCTGTTAGATCTGGGAGCCTTCGCAAGTAAGGTTCCTTCTTGAATTGGGGCCCAAGCCTTTTCCCAAGACCTGTGAGAGTGTACCTCTACACGTTTGCACCTGAGGTTTGGGAGATCCATGTCACGCATGCGCTCTCGGTATGCAGCCCAAGTCAGGAAGGATGCCAAGAAGATTGTCAAGCGCTATCTCAAGCACTGCAAAGCAGTGCCTATCAACAGCAAAGGTAGCCCTAAGTGGATCAAGTGGGCTAACTTGCAGCCTGTGTTGGATTGCTTTTTGTGAGCGCGATTTTGCGACTCATGAAATTGATATAATTCGAGATGGTGTTATATTGACACCACAACTCGTCATTGGGGTTGAGAATGATGAAAGAAAGGGTGGTCCCAATCATTCTTGCATGTTTCGCAAATGTGTGAAGAACATATTCCCTCATTCCACTACCTCCCAACAATTTCCTCCTGGGTGGCTCCTTTGCCACTCAATGAGTCTTGTTTTTAAGAAATCGCCGGGCCAGGCTGGTCTTGAAAGATGTTGGAAAGAACCGAGGCGAGCTACTGAAGCGGGGGGAAGGGGTTCATCCAGCTTCTCAAGTGAGGTTCATCTCTCCGTGCTTTATTGCTGGAAGCATTTTGGTGAGCATCACTATGCATCTAAATATATATATATATGTATACCAATAGACACAACAATTACCATAGTACCAAACATATAGGAAACACAACTACTATAGAAATCTAGCTTGGAAACCCTCAGCCGAGAATGGGAGGTAGTCTTCCGGTGGGTTTGGTTGGGGAATTGGCCTCCCAGCCTGAAAAGGAAACAAAAGGAAAATGAAGATCCCGGAAGAAAACGGATTTTTTGGCACTTTTGGCAGCCAAGTGTGGGAGAGAAGTCAGCCGAGTGTGGGAGAGAACAGCCGAGAGTGGGAGGTGGCCCCCAAATCCATATGGTTCTTGAAACTCCCAAAGAAATCAGCAACATTCCCACCCCAAAATCCTTTTGGTGTCGAGTTCATTCTTGGCTGTTTCATTCTTGGCTGTTTCCTCTACAGGGCTTTTTGTGATCAAGAGATCAGGACGGCTTCTGAAAACTACTTCTGAGCCATGGGGAAGCCCAAACAAGGTATAGTGAAAGTCCGAGCTGTGGTGAAGTCTTCGCCGAAAGAACTTGAGAAAAGGGCAATGAAAGTCGCAAAGGAAGGAAAGATCAAGCAGAAGGATGAGAAGAGCAAGCATGATAAGAAAGGGCTGAAAGAAAAGAAAGATGCAAAGCAGAAGGAGAAGGCAGAGCAGGCGAAGACAAAGGAGAAGGCAGTTCAGCAGGCAAAGACACGTGAGAAGAAAGATGGGAAAGAGCAAAAGGATAAGAAACATAAGGAGGAGAAGACGCAGGAGAAGTTGAAGGAGAAGAACAATGACAAGCAGAAGAAGCAGGCGCATGACAAGAACGAGAAAACACATGAGAAGCCAAAGAAAGATGATAAGCAGAAGAATGGTGAGAAGAAGAAGAATGATGAGAAGAAGGAGAAAAAGGAGAAGACCAAGAAGAGGTCCCAAGAGGATGAGGACGCGAAGAAGAAGAAGAAGACAAAGAAGGAGAAGACGAGTGAAGGAAAGGAAATGAATGAAGAAAAGAGTGCGCCTCGGCCCGCGCCAATCGCCGGCTCAACCCCATGTACACCGCCCACAAGATCTCCTGCTGCTTCCAGTGGGGACGCGGTCTGTTCCCCTGCTTTGCTTCAAGATCTTGAGAGCTTGAAGAAAGCTCAAATTGAGGCAGCCAAGCAGGGCCTTGGATTGGAGGAATACCTGACAAAACAGAGTGAACAAATGTTTGAACAAGAGGTCGAGCAGCATCTGGAGAAATTGGCAAAGGCAGAACAAGAAAAAGACACCAAGAGTGTGAGGAGGAGGCTGAACTTTTGCGAGAAACTGATCCCACCCCCAGACGAAACGAGTGAAGAGGAGGAGGAGGAAGAAGAAGAAGAAAAAGAGAAGGAACATGAGAAGAAGGAAGATGTGTGTGAGGATGATGAAGAGGCTGATGACAAGAGCACGGACGCAGGTCTGTCATCAGAAGCAGAGTCAACAGATTTGGATGATGATGACTGCAGTTCAGCCGCACCAGACGAGGCTGAAGAGGATGAGAGCCCTTCAGAGGATGAGGAAGAGTCAAGTGAAGAGTCTGAAGAGAGTGAGGAGGAGAGTAGTCCCAAGGCAAAGAAGGGTGGAGGGAAGGATGAGAAGAGTGAACAGGTAAAGGGCATTCTCAAGGTGTCCCAGAAGGCAGACAACATGTCTACCACAGCCAAAGCCAATAGCAGCTTGACTTGGCAATCAATGAGTTTTTATATGTTCATTGTTCACCAAGAAATACCAAGAACTTTTTGAAGATTGGGGATGTATTCAAACAGGCCTTAGGGGGAGAGCCATTATGGTTTACCTTGTTTCAAAAATGTGGCTCCCAGGTGTGACGCACAAGAGCCAGTGGGACCAGTTCAACCGACAAATGCTGGACCGAAAGAAGTTTCCTGCATCTTTAGCGAGCCACGTGTTGAAGAACAAGAATGACGTGTTCAACGAGTGGTTGGCCGCGAAGGGGTGTTGGGAAGATGTTGCTATCAAGTTTGAGCGCAAGGTTTCCGAGATCAAGGAGTTCAAGAAAAGTCGTGGAGGTTTAAAGAAAAGGGACATCCTTCTAAAGTATCCAAAAGAGTACCTAGGAACGAAACGGGCAGAAGTTTTGAAGCTTTCTTTTCTCCTTACTGTATTTGACATGTGTATATAATTCATATCCAGCCAAACTCTCGCAAAGGAAAGCAGAAGACTTGGTGCGTCGCCTTCGCAGCAAAGGGATGTGGGAGTGGGATGAAGATTTTCCTAACGATGAGGAGGACGGGGTCAGGGTTGTTTTTGTTTCACCTTCGAGGTGGGTTGCGGGTTTGTGGTTTTAAGGACACTCGTCTCATTCCTGTAGTGCTTTGCAATCTTTGCATTCTGACAGTTCTTTCCCTTGAGGAAATCTTCTACTATTGTGGCACTGGAGGCGAGCTCTCTAAGAAGACAAAGGTTGAAGAATCTCAGGGGGCTGTCATCAAAGACAAGACCAGGGAGTGCTTTGACATCATGACTCAAGAGGGTGCTCCTTTGGCAGCTGGGGTTTTGCCTGCCATTGGGAACGCTTCACCTGAGGGCGAGAAGGCCATTAACGAAGCTTTGAACGGTGAAACTACCAAGGTCAAAAACCAACCAAAGCCAAAGAAGGAAGAGGCAGAGAAGGTGAAGCCAACCACACCGAAGGAAACAGCCATTGCTTCCCTACCGGACATCCTGAAGAGTGCCACAGACGCCAGGAAACACGCCCTGGCTCTGAAGCATCTCAACTATGCTGGGGAACTTGTCAGTGGCTTGATGGGGTTTTCGACCAAAATGGAAAAGATCTATGAGAAGATCAAGGAGATTCAGGATAGTGAAGATGAACACCGCTTCAAGAAGTTCAATTCCAGTGTGGAGGAGCAACAAAGTTGGTACAAACAAGCGGAGGCTAGACTCTGGTGGTTGGGCCCGTGTGCCAACGATGACAAGTGTTCCCCAAAAAACAGTTATACTTATAGTGACTAGCAGAAAATACCTAGTAAAACACTCTAATATAAGGGATTCATACACAAGCTATTCTTCCCGTTTGGCCAACTGTGACAGGCTGCGGCAAAAAGCTTGGTTAGCGGCCTGAGCAGGAAGACAAAGAAAAGAAAGACGGGTGAGACCACAGCGGAGGGTGAGAAGCCTGAGAAGCCCGAGAAAGCGGAAACAGCCTAAAGGGCTTTAGATGGGCTTTCCTGCAACCAAACTGGTTGATACGGGGTTGTGCCTGGGGAAGGTCTTGGCATCTCTGTGCAGTTTTCTCATCCACAAATAAATATAATTACATGATCTTCAATTGTTATTTGCTTCTCGGGGGTGAGATGGAAGCAGGACTTAGAACCTCAGGGCTTAGCGATTTCTATGTCATTCTATTGGGAATTGCCCGCAGCGAAGCTTGTGGAAAAAATACGCCTCAGCCCACCTTGGAAAAGAAAAGTAACCTCTTCACCCTTCCAAGCCCTCCAACAATAAAGTTACTGTACCAACCCAGATTGCGCCAGGCGTGTTTGGAAAGAACGGAAAAGGATTGGGAAGGCGGGAAAAGTGCTCCGCAGGGAAATTGTTTGATTCAGGGTTGGATTCATAAATGTGTGTGTTTGATGTGTTGTTATTTGTATTGCCAGGTTTCGATCAATGCGGTATGAACAAATGCCTTTCAGTGAGTCAGCAGAAGCCTATCTCAGACGCTTTGACCTAAAAGGTTTTCTAGTTGGAACCACCTGTGCTAGATGTTAGTTGGGCGGTGCTTGGCAGGCAACGGTGACAAAACCTGTTTGCAAAATCTTGCTTGCCAGCGTCTGCCCCAGGTATGATTGGGAGTGGGCGCATATCAGTGGCGACAGCTGCAGACATATCCAGGGCAAATACTGCAGACACTGGAGATGCCGCACCTGCTGCGATCCAGGCTCTAGCTAGTTTGGGGGCTGGAGGCACCCAGCTTCAAAATCAGGAACGAGATCTCCACCGATGGGTTCGATCCCTGTACGACTTACAGCTAGAAACATATGATGTGCCAATGACGCTTCAGGCGCTAAGGCTGAAGTCAGGTTCAAAGTTTTAGTTGTTGTTGACTTGGCCTTCATCAAAATGCGTAGCCACTGCCCTTTCTGACCTTTCCCAAGGTTCCGAACGAAGAGGCCACATCGGAACAAATGATTCCAGTTCTCCTGCCTCATGAGATTTTTCATGCCATTGCAATGGCTGGGAGTCGGCAGGTGAGGTGTGGCGAATGGGAAGCGGTTGGATCTTTTGCCACTGATGTTTTGTTAAGAAGGTCCATATGTCACTCCAAAATGTTTAGCCCTTGTTGCAGTTTGGTCTTTCGATGACCGGTGCTCTCTCTGGGCTTGAGATTCGCAAGTTCTGGGAGCATTGCTTCGAGCACGTCGAGTGGTGCAATCACCCGGCCAAATCAGACACATCGATATCAAAAGAACGTGCCTCAAGTTGGTTCAGGTACTACTGCTTTGGGTTTGGAAGAGGATTGGTAAACTTTTCTTGTGGATCTTGTGATGCATAAACCCAACGGTTCTGATTTCCCAGGTTTGATTCCGATCACCTTGCATATAGATGGAGCAGAATTCTATTCCAATTGTGAGTACCTGGTGTGGAGCTGTGGTTCAATCCTCTGTTCCGGAGAGGCCCTGCGTGAGGGTACAAAATGTTCATGCGACTATGTTAAAAGTTAGGGTGCATATGGTGTTCAATGGTGTTCATATACATGTGTCTTTTTATGTGCGCCCTGCAGATATGGGACTGCAAGTTTCCAGTTTGCATCGTGCCCCATTCGTGGATGGCAGACAATCAAGTGACTCTGCTGTAGCTCTAGCAGCTTTTTGTCAAAGCGGACTTTTTTGAATTGCATTTGTTAGGCTCTATGCGGACAGTGCTATTTTTCTCTAGACCGGTGTGCGAGCTTCGAGGTGAAAACGGCTACTCATAAGCTGGTGGCAGAAGTGATCTCTTGGTCCATGAAAATTGCATTGGAAGGGATCGGCCCAGCGGTCGGTTTCCGAGGGGAGAAACTGGTGGGAAACAGGTGCTCGTGGGCTGGAAAGCGTCTGGCTGATGGTTGGCACTTTGCTTATTTCGGTTTCAAGGCCGATGCAAAAGCTCGGAAAGAGTGCCACTTTTTCGAGAGATCCTACCAGTGCAACAAAATCTGTGAGGAATGCCTGGCGGAAAGGTCAAACAAACACGGTGACCCTTTGATGCTGTTCAAAAACTTTTTCGATGGGGCTGCTTATTGGATGACCTTGCTTTCCCACAGCGACTACGTGCGTTCGAGCACCACTCCCAGCCCATGGCTGGCCATGCCGGGTTTTCACTTCAAGACAGCCTTCAGGGATCCGATGCACACTATTTACTTGGGGACTGCAAAGGAGATGCTGGCGTCCTGTCTGGGTTACTGGAGCAGGCTTGGCCACCTGCCAGGTGAAAACCTGCAACAGCAACTTCGGGCCTTTTCTCGGATACAAAAATATATATGCCGACAAGAGGGAATGCATACCAATTTCAAAACATTTACACCATCAAACACAGGGCTGGACAAACCCTCAGAGTATCCTGAGTTGGGATCTTCCTTCAAGGCGGCGAGTGTGAAACAAAGCATCTTCTTTTTTGCCAAGTACGCTACAGAACTTGCATCGACCACAGAGGAGAATTACGAAGGGTTTCCTGAGTTTGCTGGTTGGATTTTGGGTGTGTTGAAGTTAAAGGTTTTTAGAGGTGGGAACTCGAGTTTGACCCTGCAGGAGGACATTAATTTGCGACTCATTGCCATGAGCCTCTGGAGTCTGCAAGAGGCACTTCACATTCTGGACCACTCTGGATTGATTGTGCTCAAGGAAGATGCTGAGGTTGGGGTTTGTGAAAATACTCAGTTCACAGTTCGCTGATTTCGCAAGTTTTTGTTTATTGTTTCAGAGGTTGGGAAGGTGTCTGGTTATGTGGTGGTCCACTGCCTGCCGCGCAACCCCGCAAAGGTTTATGATCTTTAGGGTTTGACTTCAATGTTGGCAACATTTGGCGCACAACTGCCAGCAGATGAACCAAAGGCTTTTCCGCCTCCGGCCAAAGTGCCATTACTTACACCACATTGGGAAAGATATTCGTCGAAGCCAACTGAACTGTCGGATTGTTTCGGCGTGTTTTTATGATGAATCTTTCTTGGGGTACATTAAGCGAATCGCTACGGCCTGCCATTCGTCGTCTATGATAAAGACACGTTTTTGGCAGAGGTATTTCATATTGTTGGCAATTCGTTGGGAACAAACTCGGAGGTGTGTGAGCACGCCCACTTGAGTGATGCATGGCAAAGCCATGAACTACCAACAACGAGGGTTTTGGAAAAAATGGAGGGTAAGAGCGTGTGTGCAGTCTAGTGGCAAAAGGTTATCCAGAGTGGGTTTGGAGCACCCTGTTTGGACAAGTGGTTATGAAAACATGGTTGTGTGCGTGGTGTTTTTGTTTTGAAAGAGTTCTCTGTCACTGGGGTGGTGGTGGCTCACAGTTTGGGCATTTGGGCCTACCCGTCTCCAAACAAACGGACCCCTCCACACAGAAACAAACACACACAACAAAAAAACATGTTGTTGAACATATCCTTCAAAACTGTTATCTTCGAGTTATCCCCACCCTGTTATCTTCGAGTTATCCCCACCATTTTTTCCTTGTTTTCCTTTCTGACGTGAGGCAATCATGGGTTTGACTCAGCCAGTGACTTCACACCGGTCTTCGGGCCCAATGTGCAGGTACTGTTCACACTGCCACTGGCTCACAACACTTTTAGCCAATGTGCCACAGCCACTGCTTTACAAAGTGGTAGCGGAGCCCCTGCCAGCTTCCAATAGAGTATACAACATGTTCTCAGCACACCGATAGCTGAAGCTATCGTTTGGTTTGGAAGACACAAGCTTGACACAGGATTGAAACAAATCAAACATTTACCTCTGGTCTTCAAGGTCAGTGGATTGTGACAGCGACGATAGCTTCAGCTATCGGCTCATGTGGAATGAACGATGATTGAAGCTGTCGTTGTCAGCACAATCCCATAAAAGTTTAAAGGCAGAGACAAGAGGTAAACATTGAATTGTGCAAACTTATGTTTTCCAAAGCAAGCGACAGCTTCAGCTATCGGTTTGAAGCACAACAAGGATATGTGAGGAGACACATGTCATGACTCACGAAGTTGTCGTGACTAACGAGAGCTGTTGAGACATCAACGATAGCTGTCTTTACCGACAGCTCTCGTTTGCCACCGCAGCTGTCCTCTGTACAGCTGTGGATCCTAGCGGCAGTCCATCTCTGATTGGCGTGAAGGTGATGTGGTGAAGAGTTGTTTCGTGCTGCCACTGGGCGCAGTGCTGTTTGGTGGTGGCACGCCTGATGTCGATGCTGACATGGATGGCGACGCAGCTTTGGTTGCGGAGATGCCACGCACCCAGATGGCCAAAGAAGTATGTGCGCTGTTGGCACTGTTGGCCAACGTGAATCTGAAGTTTCAGACCAAGTTGCGAAGAGCGGCGCCTGCGCGCCCACCTTTAGTGGAGTTGGTGGAGCGTTGTCGCGCTTAGTGTTGTATTGTCAGGACAACGTGGAGAAACCGTTGCAACGGTGTCAGTGTCGTTTATGCCACTTCGGCGCTTCTGGAGAAAGGGCCTTCTTGGATCACATCGTGGAGAAGCACAGCGGTGGTGCAGATGAAGGTCGTGCGCTCATCGAGTATCGCAAGAAGGTCGTTGGATTAGCAACGCACTTGGGACCTTCGGATGCTTGGCTTCGCGTGTCAGATGGACACTATGGAGATTTTCGGGGTATGTTGGCGCCTAGGGTTTTTGGGTTGGATTATCCCCACCCCCTTAACCATTGTTTTGAGGGGGGGGGGCCTGAAAAATGTAACTTCCAATTCCCCCCCTCCTCCCCCCACCCCCCTGAAAAATGTAACTTACCCTCCTCCAGGCCCGGCGTTGAGGTACATGAGGGGGGGGAGGGGGGCTAAAAATGCAACAACCTGCTTGGGGGGGGGGTAATTTTCTTTCCCCCCCCCCCCCCGGGGGGGGAGGGGGGGGGGGGGGGGGGGGGTGTGAAAAATGTAACTTGGAGTGTGCGAGGTTGAAAGTTACATTTAATAAGCTTCCCCCCCCGATTGGGTGAGAATGCATTGCGCAGAGTCTTGTGATGTCTTTACAGAGCCCGTACTCTTCCAGCAGCCTCACTGAGTCTTGCGTAGTATTACCTTGGACCATTCTAGACTTGAAAAAATGTAACTTACTTTTTTACATATTTAGTTACATTTTCCCTGGAATAATGTAACTTGCATAAGTTACATTTTTCATAAAAAGCCTAACAAATGTAAGTTACATTTTTCCAGGTATATGTAAAGGGCTAAATGTAAGTTACATTTTTTGAGGTCACCCCTGCTAAGGGGTAGGGATGTTAGATTTGGATGCTGCATTAGCGCGTGGGTTTTTACGTGAGGTCACGAGCTTCGCCGCGCAGCGTCGCTTGATGGAGAACGCAGATGAGAGGCTCAGACAACCGGAGCAAGGAGGCCGCTTGGAGACGGGCTGTGTGGTGTGTGCTCGTAGGTTTTGGCGAGAGCAGCTGAAGATGTTGATTTTGTTCCAAGATCCTGCGGGGGCAACTCCGAGTTGGGGGATAGTGCGGTGGAGGCAATTCCACCTGGACAACAGGAGCGCTTGTGTCGAATTCTCGGGGTGGAAAGATACAGTCGACGCTGGCCCCACATTCCGGTGACGGAATTATGCGCTTCTGCTGTGGAGCATCTGTATTGCAAGGGCGAGCGCCTGCTTTTGCGCAAACGAAGGATGCCGATGGATGTGAAGGATCCTTGCCTGGTCTGCGTGGACTGCAAGGTGTCTTTGATGTCTTCCATTTTGACACTTCCTCGGCGCAGCTTGGCCAACGACCTCTGGATCGGCGAGCAACCATCTGCACTGCGAGACTTGGCATCGGCCACGAAGCGACTACTTCCAATGACCAGGACGTGTACGCAGGTGGTTGTTTTACAACCAGGACACTTGGCGCGTGAAGAGCGTCAGCGTGGATGTGTGGGGAACACCATTTTTTTGCCTCAAGCAAAACCGTCTTCGGTGCTGAAGACCTTGCCCCCGCGAGAGGTGGACATGCAAGATGCAATTCTCTTTGTCTTGGTTGGGAGCCAGAAGGATGCAGTGAAGGGGTCGTCTTTGTTGCGAGCGCCCAGGAGTGAGTACGCTGCTGCTGTGGAGTGTCTGCGGCAAACGAATCCTTTCTACGCAGAAGTGACACTGGGAGATGGTGGTGATGACCTTTTGGAAGGTTGCGTCTTGGAAACTGCAGAGGATTTGGCTTTGGCGAACGTCGACGCACAAGGACAACAGACACCGGAGGGGGAGGAAAACGATGGCGCCGCTGAAGACCAAGATCGAGGGAAAGAGGTACCAGGCGGAGCGTGGGTGTTGTTAGCAAATATATTGCAAATATATTATTTGTCGTTTTGGGATCGTTTGCTTGACTGTCGGAGCTGTCCGAGTGAAGCCAACGAGATTAGATTTGGGGATCTCAGTGAGTTCCCTGAAGATGCATTGTGAAAGGTTGGCTGTAGGACAGACGAAGAAAGCCGTGGGCGTGGGTAATAAATACATGTAAATACATTCTGTAGGTTCTGGCGCTCGTTTGCTTGACGGTCGGGGCTGTCCGAGTGAAGAGAACGAGAGTAGATTTCGGGATCCCACTGTGGGTTGCTTGAATATGCATTGTGAAAGGTTTGCTGTAGGACAGACGAAGAACGCTTCGCAGGTCATTTGATGTCCTGCATTGTTGGTTTGAACGATGGAGCCGACGAACAAAACAAGTGGGTACGTGTGGTGAAGGACATGGAGGAGGTTTGCTTGAGACAGGGTGGTCAGCGAAGGAGCCATGCTGCTACTGTGGTACGAAATCGCATCAACAACGAGGTGGTACCTACAGATGCCGATGCCCACGGACAGCTCTTGGGGCGTGAAGGAAATCAGGAATAAAAGCAAGTGCTGCAGAAGGTTCGCAACATTCAGAAGATCGCACGCGGCACCGCCGAAAATGAGCGTGCCGTGGAGTCGGCAATGTTCCAAGTCAAACCTTCCAATTTGGTGGTTCCGAGCAAAGACGAACCTCTGTCCATGTTTGAGGCAGCGACCTGGGGCATGTCGTTTCCAGACTTGTTTCGCCAAATCCAATGGGAGATGGCGTGCCAGTTACTATTCGAGCAGGAGCACATTGTGACGTATCGTGGTTACAATATGTTTTTCCTGTACGCGCCTTTCGCGATGATGCGATGCAGGCAGGAGGACATGGAGAATGTCTTGCAGCAGAAACCGCATCTGAAGAGTGCTCCCTTGGACGTGGTTGAAGATCCTGAAGGACGGGGACCAGTGGCTGTGGATGAGATTGCTCAGGTTATGGACGAAGAAGGTGAAGCGCGCACCGTCCACCAGGTGCATGTGAACTTTAACCAGAAAAACGATTACCTGCACAGGGGCTCTTCTGTGTTACTGCAATGCATGTCCCTGGTGATGTATTCTCGTTTTGCGCGGAGGGTTTCGAGGAACAAAGCTGGCAAAGTGGACGGAGTGAAATTCTTTGATTTCGATGAGCATTATCCTCACTTCCATTCTTCTGTTCAGGCCTGTCTGGGAATTGCGCCCAGAAAACTACGTAATGGACATCCGAGACATTCAGATAGCAGTTGTGTTTGTAGTATATCTTGTAGATACCATATCGGATCCATGTATATAAGTATAGTAGGAAAGACGACGGTGGCTATTATGTGAATATTGGCTCTGAAGTTTTGTTCTTGTTCGAAAGCAAGTTTCTGCAATCAACTATGCAGGAGGTGAGAGCAGCAGATGACAACGTAGTGGTGCCGGCGAACTTGCATCTACCAGCTGATGTGGAAGTGTAGAAATATGCTGCTCACATGTTGGGACTGTCTTATCCTTTTCCGACCTGTTCTGGGGATTGTAGTCTGTCACATCGATGCTTTGCTTGCCACACTATGGTGGAGGATGACAAGGAAGGCGCGCTCCGCGCGCGCTTCTCAACGCACTGGACGCCGTGGAACGCACGTCGATGTGGAGATGCTCCGCGGAGGAAAGAGTCTTGGCTGGCTTGTCGGCGCCAGTGATTAGAGTCGATGTTGCAGGGGTGCGTCCATATTTGATGGGCACCAAGGACGCCAACGTCGCTTTTCGGATTGTCGCTTTCATGATGTGCTGCGCATCTGCGAGCGCGTGGGCTGGTTCGCAGAGTTGTTGGTGCTGTGTCACTACACGCAACTCACAGCGCGTGAGTTCTTCGCCCATCTCCAGACAGCTTGGTTGGAACGCTTTGAGCAGCGCCATGCTGCTCGTCGTTTGAGCAGCAGTCGTCGCAGAGCGGAGCGTTTCGCGCTCGTGACTTCTTTGGACAAGGTGGGAGGATCTGGAAGATGACGCGGCGCCCCCGGACATAGAAGGAGATGACGTCGAAGACGATTTGCGTCTGCGTGAGGAACTGGAGAACTTGGAACGTGCACAGTGGCCGGTCGATGGGAACTCTTTGCACGAGGCAATGTTTCGAGAAGAAGAATGGATGAAGGTTCTGGGTCGGCGCAAAACTTCGGTGTTACAAGATACTTTGAAGTGCTTACGTGACTTTGTGAATGGTTTGGGAGGTGTTCCAGATGCGAGAACTGATTTGGGCATCAAGAACAGTGTGATCACTGGGCTGGAACGCAACTGGACATCTGCTGAAGCTCAGCAATCCTTGATGCTGCAAAAACAGTATTTGGAATTCTGTGCTTGTCGGTTGCTCTGTCTATGACTCACGATAAGAAATCTATTTTTTTCCGTGACGCGTTTCCATGGGTGTGACTGACGTGTTGAATTCTGAATTTGGTTCTACTTCATCTCCATGCATCAGGTACCGAAGATGACGATACAACAAAAAACTGGATAAGTACAAACCCAGCTTCGGCCGGTGGAATCGGAGTCTCTTTTGGTGCCAGTTTGGTCTTCGCAGGTTTTGATGCCTTGTTGTGAGCAGGTGCCTTCTCCATCGATTCCTCAGAAGGATTGGTGACATGGCTGGCAAGTCTTATGAAACAGACTTCATTAAGCTTACAAGTCTAAGCCGCAACAACGTGTTGCGCAAGAAAGGCACAAAGCATGACCAAGCATCAGCCGATGAAAACGGAGTCGCCTTGGGCTCACGATTTGCCTTCGCAATTTCTGCTGCCTCCTTGTGATGACTATCTCTCACCGGGTCCTCTGCAGTGCTCTTGATAGTGCTTTTGTGGAGCGCACGCAAATACTGTCTGGTGACTTCTCAGTTCTTTGAAGCTTAGATTCACCCACATATAAGAGGTAAACGTTGTGCTGCGAAAGGGAAAGGACCATCTTGTAACTACAGACCACGGGTTTCAGCCTTTGCAGGAGACGGAAGATGCGTTTTTGATGAAGCTCAACGAAAAGAACATGGGTCCATCTGATTATCCTTGGTGAGCACAGTTTGAATCGTCAACAGATTTTGGCGATCGCTCCCATTGCTTGGGTTATGGAGCAGATGTGGGTGAACCGCGCCCAGCTGGAAAGCTGCAGAGCTGATGGGGCGTGCAACGAAAGTTGCAATTGTCTTTGGCTTGGGGGTGGTGGCTCCGGGAAGACGTATGCCTACACCAGGGTATTGAGACCGTTCTTTCGACGCTTCTTTGGCTTGGAGGGCTGCGTTGTGGGTGCTCCTACGCATGCTGCCGTTCGTTTGCTGGGCCCGGAGGCCAAGACTCTCCACATGTGCACAAAGGGAGTGGCCTGGATCGTCGCGCTTTGAGAACTGCAAAGAGCAAAGGCGACCCAATCGAGAAAAAGATAGAGGGGGCCATGGCTATGTTGCTGGACGAGTTGTCCATGGTGCCGCCCGACGTCTACCATGCTGGCGCGTTTCGTTTTGCCATGACTCGACAGGAACATTGGAGGCTGGAGATCGTTCGGTATTTGGAGCAATGGTTTGGTAAGGTTCCTATTGGAGTCCAGCTGGCTGACTTTCTGCAATTGCGACCAACTGCCTGTCTGTCCTTGTGTGAGTGGCAAGACGCTCAACGGGCCACCGACGCAGCGGTGGTGCCCGAGAGCGACAACGGCGTTGAAGAGGCGGCGGCAGAGCGCACCAGCAATGCTTCCGAATTAGGACGACTTGCGTTCAAGTCCTCGCTGCAGCGAGTCGTGCACTTCACTGGATCGGGTCGGTTTTCCCAGTGCGCATCTGGACAACAGCTGGTCAAGATTCTTTTGTCGATGCGGGAAGGCAGGCCTTTGGAGGATGGATTGTGGGAGGCCTTAGAGGCTCGTTCGATCGGCGGAGAGCAACTGCTGGAGAACCAGATGCTGCAGACGCGGTTGTTGAACTTTGGCGTGGGAACAAGTGGCTCGATTGCAGCATCTCCGGGTTGCCTGGGAAGCTCCACAACGATCCACCACGTTGTTTTTGGTGCAAACCATCGATCGCGCGAAAGGACCGACTGAGTTGACGAAGGAGCAGAGTTTGACTGCGCTGCAAGTCGCTAACATGAACAAGACCCAATACCTGGTGGGCATTTGCCCGCTGTTTGAGGGGATGGCAGCGCGCATCAGTTGCATTTTGGACATGCCGATGCTCAGTCGAGAGTTGCCCGTTTTTGTTCGGTCCATCAAATTGCGCCCCAAAGAACCTGCAATTCTGCCAGGCAGTGGGTGTGCAGTGTTGCGATATCAACCGTTGGCTGTTTTGGTTGAGGTGGATGATCCAGAGTATCGTAGCATTCAATTGCCAGATGGCAGTGCTCCACCGGGTCACGTGTGGCTGCGCGCCGTGACATCGGATCTGGGCTGGGATCTGTCTGTTGGCGGGAAGCAAGCCGTGCAGGTGGTGCGCAAGCAGTTACCGCTGACGGGTTACAGGGCATCACTGCGAGACAAGGATTACTTGCCTTCTTGTCGAAACCCTCGTGGATGAGCAATGCCGACTATGCCTTGGCTATTTATGTGATGTTGTCCAGGCCAACAAGGCTCGATGATCTGTGGATAGTTGATCTGCCACCTCGAGGTGTTTTTGAGACCTTCCTGCACGAACACAATCCGGTGCTGGTGAAGAGAACGCGGGAGTTTGAAGGGCAGGCCCGGGTGGATGAACGGACAGCCATTGAGTACGTGCACCGGCTTTCCTGGCAGGGAATCCCTTGGGTTCGCAAGCGCTTATCAGCTGATGAGGTTGCTGCTGTAGTTACCTCAGAGTTCTTCGCTGATGACCGAGCTGTGAGACGGCAGCTGTTTTATAGCGCTGTAAGAACTGTCTGCGCAATCGGACGGAAACCCGACATAGTTGAGTGTGTCGCAAATACTTCTTGCGGAAGGGATTGCCCGAGCGAGGAGGGAGCAGCGCACATGACGAACCCAAAGCAAGGATCCACTAGCATGTCTTTGTGAAAATTGTCGAGATCCGTTTGCGCAACGGTCACGTCCTCGGATGGATCTGATATATAGTTGAGACGCTGAAGCACGGCGCGAGGGCGTGTTGTTGTGGAGCATGACTGTTGTCTTGTAGCAAACTCGACCTAGCTGAGTGTGTTGCAAATGCTTCTGGCGGCAGGGATTGTCCGAGCGAGGAGCGAACGTCGTATATAACGAACCCAGAGCGACGCTCCACTAGCATGCCCCTGAGTCCTCGTTAAACGAAGACATAGAATTTGCGACACGTGCTCGTTGACCAAAAATGTAAATTTGGAGTTTTCGGTCTCTGTGGAAATATATGTATCGATGCCTTGACAGTAGGTTGGTACTGAACTTTGCTTTCATACTTTCATGACATTTTAGTGACAAATCTGACGTCATATGCTTCATTCACGGTATGTAGGTACCGAGCTTCTTTTTTTGACCGATCTGGAGCAGGCTGAGGCGGAGACAGATGCGGCTGGATGTGTGGAGCCGCTTCTCGCCAGAGATGGTGAAAACTAATTTCTTCTTTGCGATGGAAATCATTGTTGTTAGGACCAGGATGAAGCGCACATAAATTTCGCGCGGGATATAGTCCAAACCAGTATTGTCTTTGCAATGAAAAGTACTTTTTTGTGGCCAGAATGAAGCGCGCACAAATGCGTTTTGTGTGCTTCGTCCTGCTTACGTTTTAAAGCTCTTTTGTTGGATACTTGAAGTGACGCTGACTTCTTACGAACCTGGTGCCAGGTGATCATAAACTGACTATCAGCTTGAAGAAGCTGTGGAACAGCTGGAGTACCGGGGACAGCGAGAGGTAGTGAGATATGCCTTCAGAGTATGTTGCTCCCGAGGTTTTGCTTTTCACATTGTGTTTACCTTGACAGGAAGTTGGGCATCGTACTATTTTCTCTGCAATGAAAAGTAATGTGTTTTGGGGCCAGAATGAAGCGCGCGCAAATGCGTTTTGCGTGCGCTTCGTCCTGCTTACATTTTAAGTTGTTTTTTTGATACCTTGGAGTGAGACTGACTTCTTACGAACCTGGTGCCAGGTGGTCATAAACTGACTATCAGCTTGAAGAAGCTGCAGGGGAGCCGAGCTGTGGAACAGCTGGAGTACCGGGAACAGCGAGAGTTAGTGATGACTGCAACAGATATGCCTGCAGAGTATGTTGCTCCCGAGGTTTTGCTTTTCACATTGTGTTCACCTTGACAGTAAAGTGCCAGATTCGTTACTAAATCATTATTTTGGAAATCATGTTTTTGGGACCAGGATGAAGCGCGCATAAATGTACTGTGTGTGCGCTTCAGGCTTGCGCTGTACTGTCACTGGATGTGAAACTCGATGCAACAATGCAATGCTGGGCTCCAGCTTCGCGACCACACATCATTCCAGGTCATTACCGTTGCTGCTCCATTCTTTGAAGGGCCTGTCCGCGAGAGTGGAGCTGATGGCTTGAAGCGCACTTACGGCTTACTTTCTGTTTGTCTGATACTTGAAGTGAGACTGACTTGCTTTGAGCCTCTGCTCGCAGGATATCTACTCGCCATTGTTTTTGGGACCAGGATGAAGCGTACACAAATCCATTGTGCGCGCTTCGACCTGCTTATGTTTTACTCCTTTTTTTCTTGAAATGGGACTTGTGACGTTAGTATGTGTGTACTTCACCTTCATGACAAACGATGTTCGCTTGGAATACACGAGTCGCTTGTCATGATCGTCGTTTGCTCGCCCTGTTCGTGGCAACTTCAGTGTGAAATGTACGTTCTTCAGTTCTATTCGAACCTCTTCAGCGTTGTACTTGCGCAACTAAGGCTGACGTTGCGCTGCCGTTGCATCGACGCATCTCCGTCTACACCCCCTCACCTCTGTACATTCAAAATTTACATCTTCACACGCTCACATCCGCAGATCTACCTCTCCACCTCACCACACCCACACATCTGCGCATCAGCGCATCTATATCACATCTGTACATCCACACTGTCGCTACTTCACATCTGTCCTGTCTTTCTTTCTTTGTACATATCTTTTCTCTCGCCTCTGTACATTTACATCTTCGCACGCTCACATCCACAGATCTACCTGTGCACCTCCATACATCTACACATCTATATCGCACCTGCGCATCCACACTGTCACTCCTTCACGTCCACTCTCTCTTTCTCTCTTTCTATATATCTTTTCGACTGTGCTGGACAATCGCATGTCTCGCTCTCGGGCCAACCGTCGTCTAGTTGTCACCTCCATTCAGGGTCTTTGCCTGGTTTGGCAGCATGGTCTGGGCCTATGGCTTGGACCCGAAGCATATCTGGATGGTGTAGGCATCTGTGAAGTTTCGGCTGTTGTTCCTCACCCAGTCTTCCCATCCAGTGGACCACGTGACAACTCTCCAAAACTGCCAGGTTTCTCCATGGGCAACCCAGTCTCTCGTCACTATGGACTGGTCTGGCCATCTTTCATGGATGAGCTCTGGTTGGTCAGGATGGTATGGTCTTTGCCTGGTTTGCCATACTTTCAACGAATAGATGTCGTAACAAGCATCCGGTTCGAGTGCCGATATTCAGAATTCTTGTTCTGAAAATCTATCGTAACACAGCTGCTGCAAGTTGGCTTTTGTTTTGCCCGCTCCTGAGCTGCGCCTCCCTCCCGTTGCAGCTCCGCCGGAGGTTGGGAGGAAGAACTGGCAGCCATGGTCAGTGCGCCTATTTACGGTAAGCTCGAGCCACGACATATAACTCCAGGTTAGGCAATCAGTTCTGAAGCTAGCACATTGTTTCTGCGAAAGCACGAAACGAAGAAACTGAACAATGTATTCACTGCTTCTACTAAAGCAAAAAATGCTCACGCAAAAAAGCATTTTTCACCACGTGTGAAGTTAGAATGTGAGTTGTGTGTTAAGTGTTAAGTGTGAAGTGTTAAGTCTAGTGTGTTGAGTAAGTGTGTGGGTCTGTGTGTGTGTGTCTATGTGTGTATCTATGTCTGTGTGTGTACAGAGGTGAGGGGGTGTAGACGTCGATGTGCAGATGAAACGGCAGCGCAACGTTTTGGCTCAGGAGCGCCAACCTCTTGGTGCATTTCTCGCTGTGTCAGCGCAACGCTGAAGAGGTCCGCCAAATACTAGAAGCAAACATAACACGTAATACCACCAATCATCCCTCTCACCAGCGACACGCCGTCTTGTCGGACACTCTTGTGGCACACTCTTGTGGGTCGCTCTTGTCGGAAGCTCTTGCGGGGCACTCTTTTGGGACACTCTTGATACCGCAATGATCCAGCATGTTTCGCGCTCCCCAGTGGCGCGGCGCCACGCAAACGCACCCACCAAGGCCGCACAAACCCCCCTGGCACTGCGACATCATGAACGTACTTTGGCCACACGGTCTGTCCACACAATAGAAGCGCACATATCACATGAGACAGCCAATCATCCCGCTCACCAGCGGCGCGGCGCCACGCAAACGCACTTCCCACCAAGGCCGTGCAAATCCCAATGGCGCTGCAACATCACGAACGTACTTTGGTCACACGGTCCGCCACACACTAGAAGCAAACATATCACTTGATACCCTTATAATCATCCCGCTCACCAGCGACACGCCGCGTTTACGCCAGCATGTTTCGCGCTCCCCAGTGGCACGGCGCCACGCAAACGCATTTTGCCACCAAGGCCGCGCAAATCCCAATGGCGCTGTGACATCACGAACGTACTTTGGCCACACGCTCTGTCCACACACTAGACGCAAACATATCACATGATACCGCCACTGATCCCGCTCACCAGCGACGCGCCGCGTTTACGCCAGCATGTTTCGCGCTCCCTAGTGGCACGGTGCCACGCAAACGCACTTCCCACCAAGGCCGCGCAAATCCCAAGGGCACTGCGACATGAACGTACTTTGGCCACACGGTCTGTCCACGCACTAGAATCACACATATCACATGAAACCGCCAATGATCCCGCTCACCAGCCACACGCCGCGTTTACGCCAGCGTGTTTCGCGCTCCCCAGTGGCACGGCGCCACGCAAACGCACTTCCCACGACGAAGGCCGCGCAAATCCCAATGGCGCTGCCACATCACAAACGTACTTTGGCCACACGCTGTGTCCACACTAGAAGCAAACATAGCAAATGAAACCGCCAATGATCCCGCTCACCAGCCACACGCCGCGTTTACGCCAGCATGTTTCGCGCTCCCCAGTGGCATGGCGCCACGCAAACGCACTTCCCACCAAGGCCACGCGCTGCAACATCACGAACGTACTTTGGCCACACGGTCCGCCACAAACTAGAAGAAAACATATCACATGATACCCTTAATCATCCCGCTCACCAGCGACACGCCGCGTTTACGCCAGCATGTTTCGCGCTCCCTAGTGGCACGGCGTCGCGCAAACGCATTTTCCACCAAGGCCGCGCAAATCCCAATGGCGCTGTGACGTCGC